TTCAAACAATTTGCATTGGGCATTTTTGTGGATTTAAGTAAGGCTTTCGATGTCATTGACCCCAAAATTTTGCTATCCAAGCTGTCTTAGAGTATATGGATGTCGTGGTATCACACTTGCTGTTATTGGCAATGTTGTTAATGATTGTTAATGCATTGTCCTTATTGTTATTCAATTGTAATATATGTTTTCTTTTATACTGTTTTATGATGATGATATAAAAAAAGCATAAAGCAAAATTTTGATAAATCAATTATTTTAATAACCTTGACAACTAAAAAACCAAACCACCGTCGTCGTTGGAAAAGCATCTTTTTGGATAAAATTTTCAAACCAACTTTATGAAAACTTCCTGGTGTAAAATGTTTGCTACAAATTAAAATCTTTTTTTTCGTCGTAATTGTCAATGTATTAAAAAATACATTGTCAATGCATTAAAAAATACATTGACAATTACGATGAATTGTTTGCTGATTATTATAATTATATTTTATAGTGTTATACTTTATAGCTATAGTATAGTGTATAGTATAATCTAAATTAAAAAAATTATACTCATCCCTTTTCTTTTTTAAATTTACTAAATATAGTTTTATTAAATATAATATATAATATATAAAAGGCAATACGAAATTGAATTTAAAACAGCAAACGATACAAAAACTTCGCAAGCGATAATTTCAGATCAGACGATTAATCAAAAACGCTGACGGAGACAACGATGATGCTTGATCCATAGAACAAAAAAACAATTTTTGTTATAAATTAATTTTTTATGCCATATCCATTATATCCATGGTTGCTATTCATCCTGTTTATAAATGATATCTTTTCAGTTTCTGGCCATTGTAATACAATTCTTTTTGCAGACGATACCAATATATTTTTGACAGACAGTAATCCTGTTAATTTGTTTCGTCTCATGAATGAGCAATTAGATAGATACTATGATTTTTTTTTAGAAATAATAAATTATCTTTAAATCTGAAAAAATCTTGTTACATTTTATTGGCCCTAAAATAAAAACCAACAATGTCATGTTCAATAACTTATCTATAAAAATTGGTGATGTAATCCTACCACGTATTTATTCAATAAAATTCTTGGGTATCATGTTACAGAGTGATTTGAAATGGTCGAAACATATTGAAATGATCCTGGCAAAATTATATAGAGTTAATGGAATAATATATAGAGCACGCAATAAACTAACGTTACCAGTTATGATAACGTTGTACTACCCCCTCTTTTTTCCGTATCTAACTTATGAGAATATATTTTTGGGAAGCACGGCCAAATATTTAATTAACAAACTATCTGTTGCCCAAAAAAATTCTTACGTACATATTTTTCACTATCTTAATTAGACCACACCAAGCCAATATATATCTAACTAAATATCTATCAAACACTAATATTTTTCTACAAAGTTTTATATATGGAAAACTACCAACTCATTTAGCCCCCTAGCCGATGAGACAGACGATGTAGCTAATAATGAGCAAATAACTATTTGTTATCGCTATTTTGATAACAGCGTATTAAAAGAGGATTTTTTCGAATTTGTTATAGTTAACGATTTAACCAGGACGAGGTTTGGCAGCCACTTTGATAGAGAGATTAATGGCATGCGGCATTAACCAACAATTTTTAATAGGTATGAATTTATTTATTTATTTTCTAAACAATTGAATCATAATTCAATATTGTTTTATCAACAACTTCATTCAAGGCTATGATGGAGCTGCAGCAATGAGTGGAATTTTGAATGGCGTTTGGACTGCTATACAGGAACAGTATCCTCTGGCTGTGTATGTACACTGCTCAGCTCATTCTCTTAATCTAGCTTTTTCAAAATCTTGTAATGTCCCAGCAATAAGAAATAATTTGGGAGCAATAAAAGAAGTGATTGTATTTTTCAACTCAACAAATTTTGAAGAACAAAATTTTCGAAGATCTACCTTTAATCAATCAAAAGAAATTAATAACTATGTGTGAAACACGATGGGTAGAAAGACATGAGTCTGTGATGACATTCAAACAACTATATGTAGCCATAGTTCACGCTTTGGAAGAGTTGGAATTATCGTCTACTCGTGAAACATCAACAAGAGCACATTATGTTAAAACCAAATCATTGACAAATGACACCAAAAGCCAAGCGTCTGACTAAATTTGATTTTATTTGCTATAACGTCACTCAACCCCGTCGGCATTCAACTCCACATTTTCCAACACACAGACGCACGCATTAGCTATTATGTACCGTTACGAAAGGTTCGTTTGTGCTAGCAATGAATGTTGCAAATGAGATATTTTCCTATACTATATCTATTTCTAAAACGTTGCAAAAAGTGGATTGTGATTTAGCTGAATGCTGTGCCGCTGTAAAGTTAGTACTTGGCAAATTTCATGAAATGCGTTTGAATGCAGAAGAAAATTTCAAAAGTTTGTTCTTGGTTTCCCAAGAAATGCTCACTCTGTAAATGGTGAAGTCATTACTAAGTATTTATCAGATATATTAATTGAACCTAAACGCCCCGGTTTACGATCTTCTTCTTCTTCTCGCTTTTTCTTAACTCGTGTTAAACACTGTTTTGCCAAATCTGCTTTTGCTTTTTCTGGTCCTTTTCTCTGAAACTCTCTACCTACTTCTCCATCACTTGCGAAGTTCAGAGCGGATCTCAAGACCCATCTGTTTTTAAAATTCATTGAGGAGCGCTGTTGAACATCGCGGAAATAGCGCTTTATAAGCTAATTGATTGATTGATTGATTGATTGATTACTTTACCAAGGGTAACATCAATACAAACTACTCGTGACAATACTCCAGCAAAAACCACTGAAGAATATTATAAACGAGTGATAGTCTTATCTTTTTTAGATCATATCTGCACACAACTAGAAGAAAGATTTATCACCCATGCTGATCTGATATCTTCTTTAGAAGTGTTTTTGCCTAATAAATGTTTAAATTCAAAAAAACAATGTGCTACAGAAGAAAGAAATTGCAATCATGAAATATGTCAAAAAATGTGGAAACTTTTATAGCTCAATACTGCCTGATGCAGATGTCTTAGCATCTGAATTTTTATTATGGCAAAAAAATGGGAAAATTCAGAAATCGTAGATAAACCATCAACAGCAATTGAATCTTTTTTAGCCTGTAATGACGATTTTTTTCCTAACGTGAAAGCACTATTACGCATATTAGCAACACTACCAGTTTCAACCGCAACTGCAGAAAGATCATTTTCTTCAATAAAAAGAATCAAATCTTATTTAAGGAACTCAACAAGGGAAAAAAGATTAAATGGGCTCGCTCCACTGAGCATTCACAAAGAAATCACGGTTAACCCTCAAGAAGTTTTGGACAAATTTTCAAAATTGGCCGTCGTTGCAATATTGTATTGTGATGAGTTTTTATAATTGACATGGTTTTGTTATATACAGTAATTATTAATTATTTTCTTTTCCTTTATTTTATTGAACATTTTAATTTGTTAATTTGAATAAAAATTAAAATAAACGTGATTTAAATCAAAATTTTTAAACCCCCCCGAACACAATTTCTAAATACAGCCTTGTATAATACAGTCAAGGTTATGTGAGAGTATTATATATTTTTTACTTTCTGCCTTTTTTATTTTTTCATTAGTTTGCATTTGTACAAATTTTTTCCATTTATATGGGCATTCAAGGAGATATGTATATTTTGTATCATTATTATTTTTTTTAATATGCATGTATTTTTAATAATGCATATTCAACATTACATTTCATTTAATGAATCAATCAATTAAAAAATAAATAAATAAACAAATAAATAAATTATATATTTTTCTACTTATCTTTTTCAAATTCTTATTTCTGATTATGATTTTTTAATAGTTTTGCTAAATGATTCATTCATTAATTGTAATAAGATTGTATTTCTACTGTTCATATGTGTGGAAAATGAAGTATGGGTAGCAAGGACTGCCTTGCACTGGTAGAGATTGTTTAAATAGTTTTTCTTAGCTGTCTTGTTTAATCTCATTTTGTCTCAAATAGTTAATCTAATTTAAAATTTGGTTAATTTTATAACAATTTTTTCCACTCAGTCATTTATTTATCCAAATCTCTTAGTCATATTTTCTGTATTACTTTTTTTATTTTATGTTTTGAATTTCTTCATTTTGGTTGGTCATGCTATTGTTTGTATTTTTGTTAATTGTTTCCATTTATATGCAATCAAGGTGATATAAGAGAATAAGTGATTTAATTCAATTCAATTTTATTACAGATATATATATATATCTACAGTGGCGGATCTAACGCTTAGCAGAATGCGCAGCTGCTAAGCGTGTACAAATTTATCTCTCAAAAAATACTTCAAATAAATTTTCCAATATAATGAAATTTCAAAATTTGAAAAAAATCATGAAATTTTAAATAATATTTGTTATTAATGGAAAGGGGGGCCCCGTAAAAAAAATTATTTTATAAAAATAACTGAAATAAATTTTGAAATACAATGAAATTATTAAAAAATTCTTTCAATTACTATGCTGAATTCAACGTTAATAAGCGTTTGCAAACATTAGCAGTTTACAGTAATATGTTTGAAAACAATCTGTCATTCGTTTCGTTAGCCACCGTGATATTTCTTCGGACATCCCTACTTTTCTGTCTTTAATATCGTATCGTTGTTTTGTTGTTGAAAGTGCGTGTTTTTATTTTTTAAAAAAGTATTGTGGTCAAATAATTAAAATGTTATTTAGTTGTCTGTTTTTTCTTTTATTTCAAGTACCTAAGTGGTAAACTTTTGATATAAATTAATTAAATGAATTTCATTTTAATTAATTACAAATGGCTTTTATAATTAATTGAATTGTTTCAATACTAAAATTCAAACTTGGCAGATAGATGCTATTAAAACGTAATTATATTTTAATAATTAATTAATTAATTAATTAATTAATTAATATAATGAAAACGACTTCTTTCATAGTACAAAAATGAAAAGACATCAAAGTGGAGCGGAAAAAAGGAAAAAAATCTTAAAAATCCAGGAATTTGTTGAAAGTAAAAAAAATGCATTTCATAAATATCTGTTAGTAAATATCGATATCGAGTTACCTGTGCCATCAACATCTTCTTTTGAACCTTGTCACAGACCAATAAGTGTTGAAAAAAGGGAAGAAGAAGGAGAAAGTGAACATCAGGTTGATGAAAAAAATAGTGAGATAACAGAAGACAGAGAAAATCCTGATAAATTGTATAATAAGAAAAATGAAGAAATTAATGATATAGCCTTATAGCCAGCCAGTTTCTCTGATTCATTTATTGACTATATTTTTAAAAATAAACCAGAAAATATAAGAAATATAGGAAACTTAAAATCGGTGTTTAAAGAAAAAGATGATGTTTACTACAGCAGAGGGCTCTCTATAGAAAAAAACAAACGGAGTTTTGGAAAAAAGAACATGGTTGGTATTTTCCGAAACTAGCAAGTGCATTTATTGTTACCCTTGCAAACTTTTCTCCAAGAAAAAGTCCAAATTAATAACTGGCTTTGAAAATTGGAGATCAATAACAGTTGTTTTATCAGACCATGAAATTTTAAAAGAACACATGTCATCTTTGTGCACTCTGTATAAGAGATCAACTGCTTTGAGCAGAATTGATGCTCAGCTTTTGCAGGAAAAAAAAAAGAGTATTATTGGAAAGAAGTTTTAAAAAGGATTGTTTCAACAATACAGTTATTAAGCCGCTTAGGATTAGGATTTCGCGGTCATGATGAAAGTAAAAATTCCAATAGAAAAGGAAATTATTTGACCTGTTTGGAATATTTAAATGAATATGATGAATTTTTAAAATTAAATTTCCAAAAATATGCAAACCAAGGACGGGGTCATGCAAGTTTGTATTTATTTATATATTTGTACATATTTATCTTATCATATTTGTGACGAATTTGTAGGCCTCATTGGCAATCAAGTAAGGGCTGAAATAATTGAAGAAATTAAATCGGCAACTTATTACAATATAATTATTGACTCCACTCCTGATATTGCTCATGTTGACCAACTTACTTTTGTGATAAGATATGTTTCATTTTCTGGTAAGATAAAGGAACGATTTTTAGGGTTCGTTCCTATAGATTAGCACAACTCTTTATACTTGGAAAAAGAAGTTTTAGAAACTTTTATGAAATTTGGCCTAGATATTAAAAACTGTCGAGGTCAATCTTTTGACAACGCTTCGAACATGTCAGGAAAGTACTCAGGTTTACAAGCACGTATTAAAGAACATAGTCCGAGTGCGGTTTTTATTCCTTGTGCTAACCATTCTTTGAATTTAGTTGGAAATTTTGCTGCTGAGAGCTGTAACACCGCGGTTCAATATTTCATGTTTGTGCAAAAGCTATTTACATTTTTTACATCATCAACTTCATCATCGCTGGAAAATGCTGAACAGCAAAATAGATGTTGATCAGTCTCTCTCGTTAAAAAGGGTATTAGATACAAGATGGTAAGCAAGAGCTGATGCTGTTTTAGCTTTAAAACTGAAATATACAATAATAAAAGAAACGTTAACTGACCTTTGCAATGAACGGGATGAAAAACCTATCACTATAGTTGAAGCAACATCACTACTTAAAAAAATGAATAAATACGAAACCGCTCTTATGACTGTTATTTGGAATTGTATCCTGCAAAGAATAAATTCTACCAGTAAGTCACTGCAATCAATAGAATGTGAATTATTTAAAGGATCAATGCTACTTAAATCATTAGACAGTTTTATTGAGAATTTCAGAAATGATTATGAAAAAGTTATGACAGAAGCTACCGATTTATCAGGATTACAATCTTTTAGTGAGGAAGATGAAGTAACTTTCAACAGAAGAAAAAGAAATGCGTTTTTTGATGAAAATAAAGAAGAGTATAAATTTACAACTAGAGATAATTTTAAAATCAATACATTTTATGTCATATGCGATAGTATTAAAACACAATTGCATTTTGTACACTGTCATTCCACCACCAAGTGTCCCGTTCATGCTGACGTTTTGTACCAGTTTTCCTACAAACTGTAGTTGCAGCGTTTACCAAAACGGTTTTGTATGTACTCCAATTTGTACTGGCTTGCGATTGGGGGTCTAACTGTGTTGCGACAATCTGTTAAAATTTTTCTCGATGCTTTTCTCGAAGCTTCCACGTTTTGATTATCCGAGACATTTGTTTAGACTTATGTTGTGACAGTTTGACAACCAGGTCTGTCACAAGGAGTCTATGCTGGGCGACACATGATTCGCCAGGTATAACTTTGACATTTTTGAATAGCTTTCGGTGTTGTTGCTTGACAGCGAAGAAATCAATTTGCGTGGCTGATGGTCCTCTTTTGTATGTTATGAGATGTTTCAACTTCTTTTTAATATATTTGTTCAGTAAACAATACCCGTGACTTTCAGCAAACTCAAGGATGCGGTTGCCATCTTCATTCCGTTCTTCATAGCCAATACCGCCATGTACGTTGTCAAAACCATCTGTTTTCTCTCCAACGTGGCCATTGACATCGCCTCTACTCAGGATTGTTTCAGATTTTGGTATTGTTATTTTGGTATTGTTGAGATGATGTCAAAGAATGCAGCCCAGAAGTCATTTTTCATCTTTTCTGATTTGCCTGTCTGTGATGCGTATGCAGAAAAAATTATCATCGTTTGCTTTTCTAGGCGAAGCTTGATCCACATGAGACGTGAATTAATCTTTTTAATATCCAGTACTTCTTGGGCTAGCAGTTCTCTGACAAAATTTCCAACACCATTTTTGGCCTTCTTTTGACCATTCCAGAATAGTTTATACTTTTCTTTGTCTGAGTTGACATGACAAACACCATTCGATTTCCATCGGGTCTCCTGAAGGTAGTAGATGTCAATCCTTCTAAGCTCGAGCATTTCTACGATTTTCATGTTGCGGCCAGTCAGTGATCCAACATTGAGCGTTCCAAGTCTAAATACCAGAGGGGGGCCATTCTGAATTTTTCTGCAACATCTCTCCGCTATTGCATACTTCCCAGGGATTCTTGGCACTCCTTGACCACTTAAGGCCTGCTGGGGACTAGGGACCGCTATTTTTTTTTTTGTGATGGCATTGAAATAATTTGAAAAAAGTTTTTACATCCGGACACCCATCCTGACGACAACCACTAGTTGTCGTCAGGATGGGAGTCCACTAAGCGGTAGGCCTAGCCTTTTGCTTAAAAGCACGCAAGGCAGCGTAGATGCAGTTTTATGTCATGCCCAGGACCAAGTCTAGACTAGACTATAAAGAAAAAACAATTAATATTAATTATTGCCATATAAATTTCATTCGCTCATTTATTCATCCCTGAACTGATCTACAAATCAATCGACCAACCAATCAACCAGCCAGCCAGTCAACCAACCAACCAACTAATCATCAAACCAATCAGTCAGCCGATCAACCAACCAACCAGCCAACCAACTAACCATCAAACCAATCAGTCAGCTGACCAACCAACAAACAACCATTGAAAAAAAATCTGGTACTCTATTTGAATAGAATTTCCCAATACCAACATAAGATTTTGCCCAAACCAAAATAAGTAAAAATAAAAAACTTACTTTTCAATGTTACCAAAAGCCTCACTAGATATATTTCTAGTCTTTCTGAAAATATTCACATCTGGTAACACAAAACGAACAACATTAGTAACTAAGTAATCCTGGGACAACTTCTATGTTAATAAATATTTTTGAACCTCCAAGCAATTTTTAGCAATTTTTATAATTGAATTAATATTGCTCACAAAACCTACAAAACATGGAGGACTAAGACTTACCCGAAACATGTTTGTTGTTTTCAAAAAAGATGGCGAAATTATCAATGATTATAAAATTATTACGGCCCTCCTGACACATGGTATATGTATTGATAATAAGAAACTTCCAATATATGATATATTCTATATATATGACTATATATATCTATGGGAAACACATGTTAATTTTTTGAAACTTTAAAAAACTAGAAAATTATGAAAAAATTGTGAAAATTTAATTAAACCTATTTTATTAGTTGCTTACTATTTATTAACTCAATATATTATTATTTTAGCATATTTAAATACGAAATAAACATTATAAAATTCTTGTATTTTAATCTAAATCAACTTTCTGCATATTAGTAGAAGGCGCTTTTATAACTTTCTATTGGAGATAGTGATGTAAACAATCGTAAATGTAAACAAATTTTAACGTGGTAGGTCTGAAACTCAAGGATTGCTCGTTTTTTTTTACAAATAAAAATCTTTAAAATCATCTTTTTTTTTCTTGGGTAACTAAATTTTTCATTGTTTATTTGGGTAAAACGTGAGATCGGTACTCCTATGGTATCGTCCATGTTTACAAATACAAACTATCCCAATGTACTTTTATTAATAAATTGACTCTGCCCGTGTTGAATTGTCTAGCGCTTGATTATTTATTTATCAAATTGAAAATAATTTAGATCATTACTAAAATAATAATTTAGAATTTAGATCATTCCTTGTCAAATATCAATGGCTTATGCCGGGGTGGTTAACAGGGTTAGGGCCTCCATTTTTAACAAAATTTTCAATCATTTCACAAATGATTGAAACCACTCCATATTTGTGAAATGATTGAAAATTTTGCTAAAAAGGGAGGCCCTAACCCTAACCCTGTGTACCACTCCATAAGCCATTGATTGTTATCAAAACAGAAATTTACTCATATTTTACGTTTTTTTTATTTAACGTTCACTATTTCAACTATTTGACAAGTAATGATTTAAAAAACTTACCTAATTAAATTATTTTCAATTCAACACGGATGGAGTCAATTTATTAAAAGTACATTGCGATAGTTTGTAAACATGGACAATACCATAGGAGTACCGATCTCACGTTTTACCGTTTATTTGTTTGTTAATCATGCCGTGTTGTTTGTTTATTTGATTTTAATTTAATATTTAATGAATCATTTATTAATGCTGTTAAAAATGGTTTTATAACAAAATGATAAAAATTGTAATGAAATCTGGCTAAATCTGGCTAGGGCAGCATGGTGGTCTAAAAGAAAGGGTGGCGAGATGTTCTAATCTAATCACTCTATTGGTAAATGTCGCCTGGTGCTGTTACTGGGTTCGAATGTGACAAAAAGATCCCCACCTATCACATGCTTTGTGTGTGATGCGTCGTTTAGCATGTATTTATTTACAATGTTTGTGAGCTCTGTTGAATCCTGTGAAATTTGAAAGAGTGTAATTGACCT